CGTGGCAGGCGTGGCAGGCGTGGCAGGCGTGGCACTTGGCGACATCCACCTTCGTTTTGCGAGGCAAGCTGCCTGGCAGGCGGGGAACTTGTGGCACTGGGCTTGTTCTGGTGGCGCGCTTGGGCGGCGCTATTCACTCGCCCGTGACGCCGCCGCACTTTGCGTGGCACGCCTGGCACTTGGCGACATCCACCTTCGTTTCACGTGGCAGGCGTGGCGCTTTCAGACATCCACATCTTCTTTGCGCGGCAGGCGTGGCACTTATGGCACTGGGCTCGCTCTGGTGGCGCGCTCGGGCGTAGTCGCCCGTGACGCCGCGGCACTTTGCGTGGCAGGCGTGGAACTTGGCGACATCCACCCTTGTTTCGCGCGGCAGACGTGGCACTTGGCGGCATTTACCTTCGTTTTGCGGGGCAGGCGTGGCGGCAAACACCAACACGAACACACCTGGCCCAGAGCGGGCAAACCCTGAAAGGGCAAGGAAAGAAAAAACCGGAGGCCGACGGAAACAGAACCAGACCAGCGGAGGAGGGGGAGAACGGAAGCGCCTGAACCAAGCAAACACAGCGAAACCTAAGCCTACCTCAGCACGCGCAGGACCCAACCTACCTGTAGAGAGGAAAGCGCATGAGATAGGGGACCCATGGGGGACTAGTTAATGAAAAGACCGCATGCAAAATTCGTGATAAGGCTCGAGGCCCTCGGTAGTCAGATCAACCCCATGGACAGCTGACGTAGTCAACCCTCGAATTGGTGCACAATTTAACCGTACCAAAGACCATAAACAGGAAGAAGGACCACACCTAAAGTCGTGTACCTGCCTGGACATTTCATCATGAAGCACATGTTGATCAATGTCTGTCAAACTCTCGAGCAAAGTGGAAAATGAAAGGTTGTCGCGGCTTCAGGCTACACAAGGATCATAGCTGCGGAATAAAGAAAAGAAGCCCGAGACAGCGGCCAGCAGTTCAACACTGCGACATCCACAGGTGAAACCCGAAAGGTGAGCAACTGTTTCACTTTACTTAAACGAATTACTAGGTTGAAAAATGCAAATACAGAGATCGGGTCGAAGGCTCAAGTTTCCTACCTGGAAAGGTATTCCCCGAAGGGCTCATGCCACCATGACGAATCCAGCATGAATCACACACTTGCTCAGAACAATCATTGCGAATTCTGATGTGGAATGCATCTCACGTGCAAAAACGCTCCAATTATACCTGACAGGAATGGGTCGGTGAAAGGACCCGAGAAAGAATCAAAGAGTTACCATTGCCATAGCCAAAGCTAGATGAGATGAGTTTGACGCAGCCATGTCCCTTTCAAATAAGCCAAATCGTTCCCACCTTGACAGATTGCGACAACAGTGCAGAAATTTGCAAAAACGACTTGGAGGTTCTTAGGTTGAGCCTCTTCCCATCAGCAGACATTGACAATTGAATGGAAGCAAGCCCTGAACAACAGGTGATCACAACAAAGCAGGTACGTCCAGCTGGCCAAGCTGGATATCCCATTTCACTGGTAGCTTCGTTGGACACAGTCCCAGTGACATGATGTGTCCCCCTGCTGTGTGACGAAAATGACATGAAATGAGACGCAAGCAACGAAAACCAGAGAATCAGCAGATTCAAAAAACCTAAAGGAAGAATAAGCAGTGAAAAAATAAAGTCAGCGGCTAGAAGTGTCACATCTCTTCAGATGTCTCACACACACACAGCTCTTTCACACACAACCTTGAACACACATCTCTTTTAAACATAATTCTTTCACACGCAAACTGGAACACATACACAATTCCACACACAACGCTTTCATACACAGCACACACACACACAACTCTTTCACACAAACTTGAACACAGTTCTTTCACACGCAGCTTTGTCACCCACATCTCTTTCACGAACTTCAACGCACAAACTTCCACGCCCACACACAACAAGCTTGAACACACAAACTTCCACACACACAACTCTTCCACGCACAACCTTTCACACTCAATTTTTTCACACGCAAATGGTCACACACACAACTCTTTTACACGCAGCCTTTCAAACAAAACTCTTCTACACACAACTCTTTCACACACTGCCTTTCACACACGGCTCTTTCACATACAACATTGTCACACACAACCTTTCCTTGTCACGCACAGCCCTTTCACACACAACTCTTTCACACATAGCTATATCACACACAGTGCTTTCACACAATCTGTCTTCCCCATCCCATTTTCAAACCAGTTTTGAGCTTGTTGGAAGAAGTTGACATGTGGGGTTATCCGGTCCTTTAACCTTTTCCAGGGGCATTCAGCAGTGATTGAAGCCATGCAGTTCAGGAAAAAGACAAAAGATTGGAGGTGCTCGCCCAAAGAGGAAGGGAACGGACTATTTGATGGAACTTCTGCAAAAATCCACAGATCAAACCAAATTGTCCGAGTCAAGTTGTTGGAGACCGAGACACAGATCCAAAACAACCTATACTGCAATGATGTGCGATGCAAAAATGCATCTTGTAAGAAATATCATGCCTGCCCTCTGGAGCAAGCGTGAAGCTGATCAAAATTGAACGCGGCATGACATAGAACGCTAGATGGCGTCATATCATGCCCGAACCACGATCATGCAGATACGCAAATGCTTGTTTGCACGCCCGCATACATGTCCACATGCATGTTGCACATGCATAGAACATGTCTACTCTACGGTTTTTATTGACTTTGCCTGGGTGCAAGCATATTTGGCACTACTTTGGCCTTTTCTCTGGCAATTGAAGACGTGCGTGTTCGCTGGTTTGCCGGCTTACACGCTGAAGATCCTCACCTGCGAGCGAAATGCATTGCGCTACGAGAGCTCGGAGGCCAGGGTTCCTGCAGGACACTGCTCTACGGATGCTGTGACACTCGTCACGTCACAGTATGTTTTATTTGCGCAATATCGTCAAAGGACGTTTAGTAGAAAACTTCGGAGTTACGGTTGACTGTCATGCTTAGCATTCCCACCATCATGTCAACCACATCATCATGTCAACCACCCATCATCCAGTAGCTGGGAAGTGCAAGTAGCAGTTTGGGAACGTGTGAATTAAAGTGAAAACACTCTCGGGCGCGATTTTTTTTTCTCGGGCAACGTGGCTCCTGGAGTCGCCGAAGTAGGGTCTCTGTTTCCGCGGCTGCGGGCCTCGGTCTGCGAAAGTTGTCAACAAAAAGCGCACAGGACTGTAGCCAGAGATCGATTTCCACTTCAAAATGTTAAAAAACTGACGACACCGGAGCACTTTTGGAAGATGAGGTTTGCAATGTGCACCAGACCGCAGCGAGAGCTCAATTTCACAAAACAAATCGCAAAAACTGAGGGGATCGACTTCGTGCAACGCTCCTGCTATGCGGGTTTGCAACCGACCGTGACAGAACGCATCCGCGCAGGAAAGCATCAGTGATGTTGCGACGGTTGTGGCAAGTGGGATTGCAGCTGGAGGTAGGTAAACGCATGGTAACGGCTGTGCGGCAGGTAGTTCTTGACTCTTGACCATAATGCTACTGTTGTGCTATGCGGGATTGCAGCTGGAGGTCGCTAAATGCATAGTGGCAGCTGCGCGAAGAGAAGAACTGGGTTGCAGAAGCTACAGAAGAGCTAGCTGAGAGGAAGCTCAGGGCAGGGCTGCTCAGAGAAGAAGCAGCTAAGAGAACAGGTACCCCAGCGAAGAGGTCGCGCAGCGAAGAAGTAGCTCAACAAAGAAGTAGCTCATTCATTCATCCATCCATCCATCCATCCATCCATTCGTTCAACTGTCCATGTATGCGTTCATTCATTGATTCAATGACTCGCCGACTCACTAATTCATTCATGATTCATTGCGTCATTGATTCATTGATTCATCGACTCATTATTTCACCTTTTCATTGATTCATTGACTCATCGATTCGCTAATTCGTTCATTCATTGATTCACTGGTTCATCGATTCCTTGCAGCATCGATTCATCGATTCATTGATTCATCCACCCATCATCTATTCATTGCTTCACTGCTTCATTGATTCATTCTGGTTCAATCATCGGCTCACTACTTCACTCGTGTGTTGACTCACTGCATCATGGGTTCGTTGATTGATGCATTGGTTCGCCGAATCAGCATCGCACAAGCTTTCCTGTAGGCACTTAAGTTCTGATAACTTGAAAGCAGCGAGGTAGTATATATAAAGATAGATGATTATCTTTGGGCTAAATTGACCTAAAACTGCGGCAAAAGGGATGGCAAAACCACTCTCAAGAAACCCGATTTCTCGGGTTTTGTGGCCGGCAGGCTTAGCGGCAGAACCTGTGGTTAACTCTGTGGGAACGATTCCGCCGGGGTTCCGCCAGCCCAGAGGTTCGCGCCAAGTTCTTCCTGCCAAGCCCATGCCGTGACCAACACAAGGCTACTCACAATTCACGCGTGCTTTTTCCAGCACTGTTCTCAGCTGAATTGTCAGCTCAGCACTGCTTGCCAGAGGGGCGGCAGCTGCTTAAGCAGCTTTGCTGTGGAACCAAGGTCCGCGCAGCCAACTTGCGCAGTCCAATGCGCAGCGCTGGATGCTGGAGACCTTTAACCATCAGCTTGAAAGGCGCTAAGGTGAAAATGAAAACCCAGTACGCACCTGGCCTCCGGCAGTGAATTATTGAAGTAATGCCAGGCGCATCCCAATTTGGAAGCAAACAACGCATCTTGGTGCCAGGTTGTGCCTTTTGAGGCAACAAACCTACTCGGTTTGCCGCTCTTTTTGCCCCTCATTTCTGCTAACTTGACCGGCATGTTGCCGCCTAGTTTGCCAGGGGTTCGGCCGGCTGCTTGACCAGGGCCGAAATCAAGATTTTCATCTTGTTTCTGGGGAATCTTGACATTCCCAGGCTTACTCCAACTGATAATTCGAAACTTCCGCCCCGGGGTGGGTCGGACACTACCTGGTATATAGTGTCACTCATGATATTTTGTGTTCGTACTTGTGACTACACCTATACGGAGTTTCCACTTTGACTTACACAACATCGAGTTGGTACTGTTATTTTCTGATGCCATGAAAATAGCGACGTTTTTGTCCCTTGGATGAAGTGATTCATGGATGCACGCTGCTTCACTTAGTTCCCTGTGGAAACCATCGCTTCCACTGGTGTATATACACGGTAGAAACTTCTGAGACCAATGCCGCTTTGCTGTCACTGAATGATCTGAATGGGTGATGGCTGAAATTCCACGTGTTCAATGTGTTTTTCTGTGCATGACATGTGCATGACATGTGTTTGGTCTCCACAGGCTTGGGACCGTGTTCAGGCGAGGCCAAGCAAAGTGGCAGCAACTCCACCTCGAGAAGGGGGTGACAAGGTGGGCGCTGTGACCGTCAGAATTGTCCAAAATAGCGAGATGAATTTCTGATGACTTTCCGGTGAATGCATCGTGAACGCACGAAAACGCATATTATTAATTACAATGCATCATAATCCATCCAAAATTGTGAAATTGAGATGAAATATCCAAAAAATGTGTTGCGCCAACAGGATTTCAAAACACGTTTTCAAGATGGTTCGCAAACTTATCATGGAGTTTTGTGTCTTCAGCTGGTGGACCTTGAAGATGGCTTTTCCTTCAAAGAACTCTCTCGAGAACAAGGCGTGCAGCTTAGTAAATTCACAACCAAACCCATTGAGTTGCTCCCCACTACACAGACAACTATAGATCAAGTAGAACGACTCAGAAAAACATTGGATATCAACTCTTGCCGTTTTTGATGCCCCAAGCAGATAATGTGTAGTTGCCTTGCCCAGAAGCGGTATGCAAGTGCACAGGTATCCGTGCCGGCGCAGAATATTGCAGGGTTTCGAGTAATATCGCGTCGACCACTTTCGGGAGCTCTAGCATTGCAAGTGAAAACTGTTTCTGTGTCTCAGCAAGGGGGATACCCTTGCAGTTTGGCGATGATGTTCCGGAAAGTTGTTGATTGCTTGCAGGTCACCTCCCCAGAGGATTCCTAAGGTTTCACAGGGGTTGGAATATTCACAGGTGGGTGGCTGCGCAGGTTCCAGGCCAACACAGATGCTCTGCGTGGTTTGGGTTGAACTTACTTGGCTTCCGGTGACCTAAAGGTTATTGTGTTTCGTCGCTTTCTCCACCGCGTGCTCAGGTGCAATGAAGGCCCATCTCCCATCTTCTGAATTCACCAGATGGGTCGGGCTACGATTGGAATGACTACTCTAGTCAGATTCCAATCCAGGGATCTGTGTAGCAACTGTTCAGAAGACCGTGCCAAAATATGAGAAGTGTGCAATGACCAGATCAGCTTGAATTCCAATGATATGTGATGTGCAGTGGAACTCTTTTTTGCAGGAAGGTAGGGACACCTGTGCCCCACACACACACACACAAAGGATTCTATTTGTGAAACTTTTCTGACTTTGTTATCCTTTTGCATGCCATTTTGAGGTTGCGCATGCATTCAGTGCCTTTAAATTCTGAAGGCATGAATTCCTTCGCACAGAAGTTTGCAACAGCAGGCCTTTCTGTCTGATGGCGACTTGGTGCTCAAACGATTCAGCAAGTTTCTAGGCTCAACGTGGAGCACGCTTTTTCTTTAATGGTTTTGTCTTCAGAAGTGCGCGTCAACAATTGTAGTCCTAGGTCAGAGTATACAACCTTCAATGGATGGGACCTTTTAAGGGCTGAAATCCTGCCGACACGGGAAAGAAACGACACACCGCAAGGGAGGCAACTCTAGCATGGTGTCTTGTGCTAAGGCTTGGTGTTAGGATAGTTCAATGGAAATACGTAAAAGGATCCCCCCCACCCCGCCGGGGGAGGTTCCGTTTTTCTGTTTTTTTTTTAATGCGTTTCAGTTGAGTCCGCACCTTCGAACATTCAGAACATTTGTTTTCGTTCATTTCACAGTTTCCTGAGGCGTACGCTGCAGGGACACAACAGTTTTTAACCAAACATGGTGCTAAAGAGAGCGATTTACTTCCTCTTCGCAGCATCAACCTAACTTCGTGCCCCAAATTGACCAAAAAATAGACAAGATACTGTATGATTTTGTAAGACATGTAATGCGAAAAAGTGTCTAAAGGCACCTTTGAAACCAACCGAAGCCCACAATTTTCACTACTGTTGGATAGAAACAAAATTACGTAACACCTGCAGACATTTAGCATTTTACATCCGTTTTGCCGCTTTGCTATGGACTTTGTGTTTACCATTTACCTATATAAATATCTTATAAATATACATATATATACAGCCTTACTAAAGTTCGCGAGTTCCTTTTTTTTTTGGGGCATTCCCGAAATGTATTTTGACAAGAACACAGCACCTATTTTCGCGCCGAAAATGACCAAACATATATAAGAATGATAAGAATATGCCAGGCGACAGAGGTCTGATGGCGCCGCTTAAGACAAATGTTAAATGCAAACACTTTACTAGGGGAAAACATTGCAGAAGAAATGTTTCTTCTCACTTTTCGCCTAGCACCTTCAGATTCTATAGTAACATAGCTAAAGCCTTCAGACTGGCAGCATTTTACGTTTGTTTTGTAAAAAACATTTTTTTGGTGGGCAGGGTCCCGAGGCTTTTGTCCCAAAATGCAGAATACGCAGTTGTTCCGGTTCTTTGCTTTTATTCCTCCAGTTCTACTTCTTCTTGCTCTTGTTCTTGTTTCTCCTGGCTCTTCTTCTTATTTATGTTTGGCTTATTCTTCCGCTTTTTCCTTTTGTCCTTCATGGCAATTTCAAAGCAGAACTTTTTGCTGCAAACCAGTTGGGAACAACACAGAAAGCACACAAGCCTTTGTTTCAGTTGCATGTGGGATCGCCCACACGCCCGAGGTCACGACATCCAAGAAGCAGCAGCCCAGGTGACATAAGAATTAAAACACGCCACGTGCTTTGCCTGCAAAACACAATTTTTCACAGGTTCTTATTGCCAAAAGGAAGGACAAAGACTTTTTCCTTCATCCAAAAAGCTTCACAAAGTGTTTGTCATACCCGTTGAGGCCCCCACAGACACATCCAAGAGCCACGTGCCACCGCTCACATTTCTTCGGAAACTCATGTAGAACCCCGACAATACATATTGCCAAAACTTCACCAATGTGTTCAGAGCGTCTTGCAGGGTCTCTTGCCACCCCATCAACCGGACCCAAGGCCAATCAAGACCTCTTGTATCTTCTCCACTACCCAGCAATGACGCCCCCAAAACCACGACCTGCAAAAAGGAGCAACGCAAGTCAACAGCGTTTACACAACCGTATTTACGTTTTTTTGTTTGCAACATGATATTATTGCGTCCCGTCGGAAACCCTCATGAGACACAGAAAGCCAACAAAAGTCGTGCAACATGTCCTTCAAGGTTTCTTGAGGCCGATCTAAGATCCACATGACATTTCCCACATCGTCTCCAAAGCCTGCAAGGCGTATAGAAACCCGAAAATGCTGCCTCCAGGGGTTCTTGCCATCCACCAACCGGACCCAAAATATAATTTGTTGCCGCCAAGATACCCCCGAAAGTCACAACATCCAAACAAACAACGCAAGTGACATACAGATACAGTAGTAAAAAACGCCAACAAAGTGGCCTGCCAAGCGTATTTGTTCAGGGTATTTACCTTTTTGCATGTTGCCTGATGGAATCTTTCATGCGCTAGGCAACACCCAAAAAGCCAAAAACGACCTCCCACTCCCACCTAGGTAACATGCCAAATAAATATGTAATACAATATATATATATAATATATAATATATAATATATATAAGATTTATATTGACGACAAAGGAGCACGCCCAAAGCCTCCCAAAAGCCAGATTTGGCTGCAGTTTACAATGTTTTATGCACATCCTCAGCTGTCATCGCCATCCCATCTCACAGAATGAGGTTGCTTTTTGTCAGCCCGACAACCAGAAGGCTGTTCTACGGCCCGGGATCCAAGTGTCACCGCTCTTGCTTGGCATTGTGGGGGATGAACGATTCTGACATGCCCCAGCAAGCAGTTAGGCCCTTTGGTTTTCTTGACGGCCTTGTCTTGAAGCCATATTGTATGAGCTGTATGTCACGTAAATAAATGATAATGTAAAGGAAGTACCGTGAGCAACTAGCCAATCTTTTCATCACCTCTGTGATACCATGTTTGTGAAAGCACTAGCACTAGCACTAGCACCAACAGCAGCATCAGCACCAACAGCAGCAGCAGTGGCAGCAGCAGCAGCGCCACCAGCAGTGGACCAGCACCAGCGGGACCGGGACCAGCGGACCATCAGACCAGCGGGCTAGCGGACCAGCGGACCAAGTGGACAAGTGCAGCAACAGCCTTGCCTGCACCAGCACCAGCACCACCAGCAGCACTACCAAAAGAACCACCAGCAGCAGCACCAGAAGCGCCGCCAGAAGCACCGCCACCACGCCAGCGGCACCAGCAGCACTACATGGGGCCCCAACCATGTTTTAATTCTTGTTACCATGACTTGACTTTGATGTACCTCGAATAAATCTTATACCCATGCCCATACTAACATACTACGTTTTTTTGATCACCTTGGCCACGATTTATTGTTTCTATATGTTTTGTCTAGAATATCACATAAAAAATGCCTTCAGCAATTGTATTGCAGAGGCATGTTCCTGAGCATCTCTCCTTGCTAGGTTTGTGATTCTTTCTAGTGCTAGGTTTGTGATTCTTTCCAGTGCTAGGTCTGTGATTCTGGGTTTGTGATTCTTTCTAGTACTAAGAGAAATGCTTCCGGAGTAAAAAAAGTACTAGGAGTCATGAAGTATAAGGACAAAAGTTTTGTGTTAAGGACGAAAGTTCTGTGCTAAGGACGAATGTTTTGTGTTACGGACGAAAGTTTTGTGTTAAGTGCGAACGTTTTGTCTTAAGGACGAAAGTTTTGTGTTGAGGACGAAAGTTTTGTGCTAAGGACACAAGTTTTGTGTTAAGGACGAAAGTTTTGCGTCATGGACAAAAGTTTTGTGTTAAGGACGAAAGTTTTGTCCTTAACACATAACTTTCGCACTTAACACAAAACTTTCGTCCTTATCGCAAAACTTTCGTCCTTAACACAAAACTTTCGTCCTTAACACAAAACTTTCGCACTTAACACATAACTTTCGTCCTTAACACAAAACTTTCGTCCTTAACAGAAAACTTGTCCTTTACACAAAACTTTCGCCCTTAACGCAAAACTTTCGTCCTTAGCGCAGAACTTTCGTCCTCAGCACAAAACTTTCGTCCGTAAATTTCCTTAGCATTCTTTAATTCCGTAAAATTCCTTAGAATTCCCTAAAATTACATTAAATTCCTCACAATTCCGCAAAATTCCTTATTTTTTTAAAAATTCCTTAACGTTCTTTTCAATTCCTTAAACTTCTTTTCAATTCCCTTCAAAATTCTTAAAATTCCATTGCTTCCTTAACATCCGATTGCTTAGATTTTTTTCGAAAACGAACAAACTACCAAAGAATTTGCACATGGAATGCCACATCATCGACTTATCATATGATCCCTTTTCCGAACTAGAAGCACTCATATGTACCTAATTTAACTTCAAACGAACCAAATGAAACCCAAAAAAGCTTTACAAGAGAGATTTGGTTAATATACGTGCTGCCTGAACAAACCAAATCGTGGTTTAAAACTAGCGTTTTTTTTTCGTGGTTGAACCGTTTCCAAGCGTGGTTTGGATCAATAAGTTTAAATCGTGGAGTCTCCCACCAGCATCAACAGCACCACCAGCAGCAGTAGTAGCAGCAGCAGCAGCCGCAGCAGCAGCAGCAACAACAGCAGCAGCCGCCGCAGCAGCAGCAGCAGTAGCAGCAGGAGGAGCAGCAGCAGCAGCAGGCAGCAGGAGCAGCAGCAGCAGCAGCAGCAGGAGCAGCAGGAGCAGCAGCAGCAGCAGCAGGAGCAGCAGCCAGCCAGCCACTAGCACCACCAGAAGTGCCAGAAGTACAGGAGCACGAGAAGAACCAGTAGCACCAGCGTAGGACATATGCATTTTTGGGTTTCGAACAGGTGTGGGTTCAGAAAGCTTTGAATCACTTGCAGATATCAAGCATGTGACAGCAAAGATTGGAAGTACTTTTCTGGTGAGTGGTTTTATTCGATTCCTTCGCGAGGAGAACCGCCCGCACCCACAGAATTGGATAGAGAGGAAAGGAGCGGGTGTACTTGGCTCAACCAAAGCCGACTGGGGTCAAACTTGGCCGTCCTTGGCCTTAAAGCGGGCCGAAGAGGAACTTGCGCCGGACTCGGGCCAGTTGGCTCCAACTTGGGTCCAACTTGAGCCCAACTGGGGTCCAACATGGCGCAACGTGGGCACGTTTGGACGCAAGTTCGGCTTAACGTGCTCAACTTGGTCCTGTGTGGGGGCATCTGCCGTGGACAAACCTAATGTGGGCAACATGGCCTTGCACGATTTCCCATTGAAGCCAAAAATCGTTGGAAATAGATGAAATAGCAGTAAAAACCCAAGTTTTGAGCGTGTCGTATTGAACCCGCAAAATTGGCGCGAGTTGGGCCCAACTTAGCCCTGGGCTGCCCCAACTTGGCGCGACTTGGGAGTAGGTTGCGTTGTCTTGGCGCCCAAGTTGGCGCCAATTTGTGATTGGGCTGAAGGTGGGCCCAAAGCGATCCAGATGGCTTCCAAATTGAAGCTGTGACGCGCTTGGAAGAAGTTCTTACATGCCGCAGCGTGGCACCTTTGGCGACAGCTTCACACCGAGCTGGGCCCATGCGGAGCATTTGCTTCATCGATAGCAAGAAAGTGTGGAAAATACCAGCGAAAACGTGCGTTTTGAGGATCCGGCCATGTCCCCCATTTTGAAGCTATATAGATTTCATCCCAAATCACCCCAAGTTGGAGCCAAGTTGCGCCGTCTTAGAGCCGTTGGGCCGAAGTTGGAGCCAATTGGTCCAAGTTGGGCCGAAGTTGAGGCCTTGCTGGCCGAAGTTGACCCCAAGTCGAGCCAATGTTGCGGCCATGTCGATTCGAAACGGCGCATTTGGACGATTTTGGGCCGATCTGCAAACTGCGCAAACTACCGCAGTTTCGTGCACTTTTTGGCACCCTGCTCTGTCGAATATGTTTTTTTTCAGCTGAAGTTGCACCAGTGAACAGAGGATTGTTCGAATCGATCGGCTCCGCTCGCCTCGGCACCTTATGCGCGGGCGGTTTTTTGTTTTCAACTGGCGATGGCCCCCAGTGACTAATTCCTGAAGGGGGGTTGGAACCACCAACCAGTCAACTAGTTGTTGATTGTAAGGAGCAGATGCGCCAAACCTTTTTTGTTTCAAGTTTTCTTACCTCTAACCTCTATGGAACATGTGCGCCAACTAAGGATATGTCCTTCTGCTGCACGTTTGGATTTGGGTGGTTCTGCACAGGGCTGCAGCCGTTCATTCTGCCCATGCGATTTCCAAGCCTGTTGCGCCCGGCTGATGAAAACAGCACTTGCAGCCTAGGGACTTTTCAGCCCACCGCCCCTGCTCAAAATTTTCACGTTCGATGGCATGGAACATTTTGCGATCATTTTTTATCCCGAATCTGAGCGAGGGGTTCTTCTAATAGCGGGGGTCTGTTATACATCTTCACATCTTCTCATCTTCACATCTTCCTCTTCACATCTACACAGATCATCTTCACATCTTCGCATCTTCATCTTCACATCTTCACACCTTCACATGTGCACATCTTCACACATCTTCTCTCTTTCTGTCTTCGCATCTTCCCATCTTCACATCTTCTCTCTTGCCTGCTCTCTCTCTCTCTCTCTCGCTCGCTCCTTGCCCTCTGTCACGCTCTCTCTCCGTCTTTTTCTTTTTTCTCTCTTTAGGCCGCGCGGGGTGCCGACGAGGCACCTCGAAATGGCCACCCTTTCGCACGAAATGAAGTTCGGGTGTAAAAAAAATTGCGATTTTGAAGTGTCTGCGGCAACCATTTTGCACGAAATGAGGTTGGATCGTCGTAAAATTGCGATTTAACAACTTCCGCGGCAACCTTTTCGCAAGAAACGAGGTTCGAGTTCGAGTGTCAAAAGCTGAGGTAAACTTGCGATTTAGCAGTGTCCACGGAAAGCCTTTTCGCACGAAATGAGGTTCGAATGTCACAAGCTGCGGGTTTTTTGCGAGTCTGGTTGGTCCGGCCGCAATCCTTTCCGCACGAAATGATGTTCGAGTGCCAAAAACTTTTTTTTTTTTGCGACTGGTTGGTCCGGCCGCAGCCCTTTCACACGAAACGAGGTTCGAGTGTCAAAAACTGAGGTAAAATTGTGATTTTGGAACTTCTGCTGCGACCCTTTCGCGCGAAACGAGGTTCGAGTGTCAAAAAACTGAGGGTTTTTCCCGAGAGCGTCTGAGCGAAGGGTTCTTCTAATAGTGGAGGTCTGCTATACATCTTCATGTGTTCACATCGTCATCACATCTTCTCATCTTCACATCTGTACATCTTCACGTCTTCTCATCTTCATCTTCACATCTACACACCTTCGCATCTTCACACCTTCACATGTGCACATCTTCACACATATTCTCTCTTTCTGTCTTCGCATCTTCTCATCTTGACATCTTCACTCTCTCTCCTTATCTCTCACTCGCTTTCTCTCTCTCTCTCTCTCTTTCTCTCTCTGTCTCTGTCTTTTGCCCTCTGTGACGGGCTCTCTCCTTCTTTTTCTTTTCTCTCTTTAGGCTGCGGGCAGTGCTGACGAGGCGCCTCGAAAAGGCCCCTTTCGCACGAATTGAAGTTCAATCGTCAAAAATTGAGGTAAAATTGCGACTTTGAAATGTCCGCGGCAATTCTTTCGCACGAAATGAGGTTCGATTATGAAAAACCCGGGTAAAATTGTCAAAGCAGGGGTAAAATTGCGATTTTGAAGTGGCCGGCAACCCTTTCGCACGAAATGAGGTTCGAGTGTCAAAAACTGCGGTAAAATTGTGATTTTGAAGTGGCCTCGGCAACCCTTTCGCACGAAATGAGGTTCGAGTGTCAAAAACTGAGGTAAAATTGCGATTTGTGTCCGCCGCAACGCTTTCGCAGTGTAAAAACTTGATGGTTTTCTGCGAGTTTAGTTGGTCCGGCGGGGTGTCTGTGTGCCAAAGTGTTTGTGTGTAAAAGGGTTGTGTGTAAAAGCGTTTGTGTGTAAACGAGTCTGTGTGTAAGAGCGGCTGTGTGTAAAAGCATGTGTGTACAAGCGTTTGTATGTTAAAGTGTTTGTGTGTCAAAGTGTTTGATGTAAAAGCGATTGTGTGTAATTGAAAAAAATGTGTGTGAAAGGGACCGTGTGTAAAAGCGTTTGTGTGTAAGAGCGTCTGTGTGTAAAAGCGTATGTGTGTAAAAGGGTTTGTGTGTAAAAGCGTTTGTGTGTAAAAGCGTTTGTGTGTAAAGGCTTTTGTGTGTCAAAGCAAGGTACCTCTGCTTCCCCGCCCCCCCTGTGGGGTGGGTTGGGTGTAGTATGTATGTACCTACGTAGGTTGGTAGGTATAGGCATGTATGTATGTATGCATGTATGTATGTAATGTAATGTAATGTAATATAATGTAATGTAATGTAATGTACTGCAATGCAATGCAATGCAATGTAATGTAATGTAATGTAATGTAATGTATGTATGCATGCATGCATGATGTATGTATGTATGTATGTATGTATGTATGTATGTATGCGATGGGGATGGTTCCTAGGATTGGGTGTATTACCTCCCTGGGATCCAACTATCATGCAAGGTACATATATGCTTCCCCGCCCCCCCCTGTGGGGTGGGTTGGGTGTAGTATGTATGTACCTACGTAGGTTGGTAGGTATAGGCATGTATGTATGTATGTATGCATGCATGCATGCATGCATGCATGCGATGGGGATGGTTCCTAGGATTGGGTGTACTACCTCCCTGGAATCCAACTATCATGCAAGGTACCTCTGCTTCCCCGCCCCCCGCCTGTTGGGTGGGTTGGGTGTAGTATGTATGTACCTACGTAGGTTGGTAGGTATAGGCATGTATTTATGTATGTATGCATGTATGTATGTAATGTAATGTAATGTAATGCAATGCAATGGAATGGAATGGAATGAATGTAATGTAATGTATGTATGTATGCATGCATGCATGTATGTATGTATGTATGCGATGGGAATGGGTCCTGGGGATGGGTGTCTGGGAGGGGGTTCGATTGGGGGGGGTTGCCGGCCGCCGGCCGGGACCATATATATATATATTTATATTTTTATTTTCGAATCTATAGACCCCATTTGGAAACTCAATGCGTTCACTTACTTTATTGCATTTAATTGGGGGGAAAAGATTATGGAAGTCGACGCGTGCTGTATCCAATTGGTGATTTAAGCGCTTACGCGCGACAGCCGGCCAGGGGCCCAACTATGTAGGCCCATCGTGTGGCTATGTTGGCCTATGTTGGCGTATGTTGGCCTATCTTGCGGGCAATGTGGGCCCATCTTATGGCTATGTTGGCCTATGTTAGCCTCATGTTGAATTATGTTGAGCCAAAAGATCCGAAAAATGGGAACAGCAAAAAAAACACTGTAAAACGCAGGATATTTTGATGGTCGGCGGCCTATCTTGGGGCTATGTGGGCCCATCTTGGGGCTATGTTGGCGTATCTTGAGGGCAATGTGGGCCCATCTTGGGCTATGTTCGCCCATCTTGGGGGCTATGTTGGCCCATCTTGGGGCTATGGTGCCCATCTTGGGGCTATCTTGACCCATCTTGGGGGCGATGTTGCCCCATGTTGGGGTTAAGTTGATCCATCTTGAAGCCTATGTTGGCCCATGTTGGCCCATAATGACCCATCTTGAGCCACAAGCTCCGAAAAATGGACAAAAACGGGAAGAGCACAAAACACTGTAAAACGCGGGGGTTTTTGGCGGGGGGGAGAGGTCGGCGGCAGGGGGCGCGGCCCCTCTCTCCTACGGAGAGGAGAGAAACGCCTTCGGCAAGGACACGGCCAGGGGGCCCCTGGCCGGATTTCGTAAATGGGATTTGAAATATTGATATTTTTATTTGTGTTTTTGTAGTTTCGGAATTTTCCTAATATATTAATTTTATTGGGATTTGAATTATATTGGATGTTTAAATTTTCTTTTTTTGATATTTGGGGATGAGGTTATTTTGAATTAATAAGGGGGATTGATAATGACATTTTTTTTAATTTTAGGATATTATTGAGATATTGTTAGAATATTGTTGTAAATTTAATATATATATTTTTTTTTGTATTGGTTTATTTTATATTAATTTATTTTTTTTGTTTTGCCTTACTATTATTATATTTATTAATACTACTTATTTTTTCTTATTTTTTAAATTATGAAATAAAATTATATTAATATTTTTAATTTATTATTTTAATTATTACGGGTAAAAACATAAAACATATTTAAAATAATTAAACATATTATTTATATAAATATAATATTTTATTTTTATTTTTAATTTTTGAATTAGAAAACATATTAAATATTAAATAAAAAAAATAATTATTAATTTATAATATTTTATATAAATTTATATTATTTTTTAATTATTTTTAAATATATAATATTTTATTATAATCTATTTTTAATAATTTTTATAATATGTTTTTAATTGAATATATTTTATATATATATTTTTATAATTATTATTAAATTATTATATATATTTTATTTTTAATATTTATAAATGATATATTATGTTATTATATAATTTTTAATTAAATTTAAATATTTATATATTTATTTATTTTTGATTTAAATATTATTTATTTTTATTTTTTTTAATTTTTATTAAAAAGAATTAAATCGAGCGGACAAAATTTGATTTATGTGTTTTAATAGCTTTGTAGTAAATAGGTCCTAGGTGGTTTCTACAACTATTGAAATAAAGATTATCTTTTGACAAAGAAAAAAATAATAAATTAAAATTTAAATAATAAATATATTAATGAATTCGAATATATTTATTAATTAAATAAATAAATAAATATAATTATATATATAAATTATATTTTTAAAATATTTTTTTTTAATATAAAAATAATAAATAAAATATTATAAGGAAAAAAAAAAATTCGGAAAATCCCGATAATACTAAATAATTATTAAATAAATATTGGTTTATAAAAATTCACGATAAATAATGAAATCTTCCCAAATTAATACTATCCCTTTTTAAATTTATATTATTATATTTTTCTAATATCCAGATTAATAATATCCAAATTTGGATATTGATTTCTATAAATTATATATATAAAAATATAATATTTTCTTATAAATAATATCCATTAAATTTATTATATATCAATATTATATAAATATATAATAAATAATGGGATCTTTTCGATTTTAAAAATATTTTTTCTATAAATCTAGGATTTTCGAAATTATTTATAGATTATTTTTAAAAAATTGGACAAAAAAAAAAAATATTCCTTTGATTTCTAAAATTAAATAATATATATTTTAAATATTTTTATATATTATATAATTTATATAAAATATAT